TCATACATTATATTGTTTTTTCAAAATAAACATAACACATTACAGACTTAATATTTGACAGTAAACATCAGTAATATTTCACTTTTTACTCAAACTTACAGTGTCAGATAAACATTATCTGGATGGATTCCTAGATTCCTGACCTAACATTTTCTTACTTATCAGCCAAAACACACATAATAAATCTGTCATAAATTGTCAGTTAATTGTTCAGGCTCCAATGCAAGAGATGAAAAACAAATGAACAATTTCCACAAAACGTGTGACTAAGTGATGAATGTGATTTTTTATAATTTTTTTGGGTGAACTTCAATTTTCCCTTCAGAGCCACCATCAGATATTGACATAATTATAGTAATATAGATAATTCTAACAGGTACATGTTCCTGAAAGTTGGACCTTACATTCACCAAATTTTGGACAATTCTTTTTTTAGTGCGACCCTCAGTTCAACCTGTCAACTTGGGATAAAAGATGCAGCTTTCTTGCATATTTTGCCACCATCAGGTTAAACTTTAAATGTGTTATTCCACTGCTGAGGCTCTAAGATCAGCTTACGTGTCCAAACTATGGATACCATGTGCATCAATGCCCTCATTTTATTGTGATGAAAAAGCCCCACCTACAATTTAAATGAGCAGCAGGAGAAACACAAATGTTAAAATGCTTTTCATGCCTTAGGAGGTCATATAATGGACCATGGCTTTAAAACCTTTTCCCTCTGTGTTTAATATTCTATTTGCTATGTGTACATACTGTATTTATCAGGGCTTGTTCTCTGTAGGGGTTAGTGACGAGAGGAGTGTGCCTGTTGCAGTACGATGGAATTTACTATTGATGCTGGTGAAAAAACATTGATCAAAATGTGCAGCCAGTAACTCTGGCTGGGCTGTTACTCAATATTATCATTTCATTTCACTGGGATTGTTGCATGGTTACATCAGTCACATCATGTGTTTCACATAGTTTAATCACAGAACATTTAGATTTTCAGCAGATTGCAGCTTTAAAAAGAAACAAAATGAGTTTGTGATTATCAGGTGTGAAGAGGGAAATCTTATTAAACATTACTGTCAAAAAGAAATCATCACACTGCTCAGAAGTTTGATTATTTCATATGTGTGTACATGATATAGTGATAATGATTTCAGCCATGTCACCTAGCCCTCTCTTTCCTGAACAAAGTATTCACACAGCAGCAAGAGTTGACCCAAAAGACATGTTAACACTACACAACCTTGGTGGGGTAATCTCATGTTCACAAGGTCATTCTATAATGATTGATTGAAAATTGTTTGGTTTCAAAGTAATGGTGAGGAAGTTATGTTTATTTCCCACTTACATTCACAATTATACAAATCCATTATGTACTGATAGCTAACAGAAACTAAAGTGTGCATAATTATTTGTCTTTTTTCTATTTTATTTTCATGGCTGTCTTCCCAAGCTCTCTTCTTATTCTTGAAGGAGAAATCCGCTATAAACATTTTTACTGATATGGTACTGTGACTTATTTTGTAGCTTGTTACAAGTATGAAAGGTTTCATATATGAACATGATGTATGCTATCTTGTGTGAAAGAATGATGCAGAAAAGAAAAATGTACATCTTTTGTCAGACCTCTTTAGTTTTCAGTTTTTAGAGGAAAATGAGCACAGGTCCAATTCATTTTGTTCATCTTTGATACTGTACACTTCATTCAAACAGCATCTATCTCTGCCTGCTATCCTCACATCCTGGATTATAACTGAGAGAAAGTACTTGAATCTTCTCAAGTTATTACAGGTTTGGCTGAAGTGGAAGTTCAAAAGTTCAATTAGAAAGCAATGGTGTACCTTGGCTTGGATTTTACTTGAAACTGCATATATTGTTGAAATTTGTAGTAGACCTCTTTGTGTGCATCCTCTGAGTTGTTTTTTTTCTTGTACTGAATAAACAAAACATTTCTTCAACGTCAGTATTTGTTCTCCTGGTTTTGATTTTCATGCTTATTCATTCAGCTCGACAATAAACTAATTGATGGCATCTTATCAATCAAATTAATTTGAGTTTTATTGTTTCAAGTGTCATGTGGGAAAGAGAACAGTACGTCATAAATAGAATATTTCGTTTTTATTAGGAAACACTTGTCAACTTTGGTTGTAGCTGATAAACACCCTAAATAAGATGATAATCTATTTTACTCAGCTCTTAAGATATTAAGAGGACTCAGATTATACATATGTGTTACATTGTAAGGGATTATTTGCCTAAAAAATAAACTGCTTGTTCATAATACATAATTAATTCTGACATGGGGTCCTTCATCAGTAATAATAATCTAGTGATTATGAGTCATTTCCATCAAAACAACAGTTTATTGTTCATTAAGAGCACTTTTATCAAGTACATTAGCAGATTTCCTGTTTATGTTTGTTCAATACAAGTCTCTTTATTTACTTATCAAAGCTGTTCTGCATATGTTGTGTTGTCTCATTTCTTACAGGTTCAGTGTGTAGAATTTAGTGAAATCTAGTGGTGAAGTTAAATGGTAAATGGTTGTATTTATATAGCAGTTTTCTAGTCTTGAAGACCATTCAAAGCACTTTACACTACAGTTTTCCATTCACCCATTCACACATACAGTGCTTCTATAGCTAGCACTTTTTTTTTTGATGTTCTATTGGGCAGTTTTGGGGTTCAGTATCTTGCCCAAGGACACTTTGGCATGCAGATGGGAAGACTGGGGATTGAACTTCCGACCTTCTGGTTGGAGGACGACCGCTCTACCCCCTCAGCCACAGCCACCCCAAGTTGCATGTTGCAGCTGAATACCCCTCACCTCACCCTCCCCTTCCAAACATGAGAGAATCTGTGATAGCCTTCAGTTGTCATACAAACTTGTCCAGTCTAGGCAACTGTAAAAAAAACGGATGACTCTGTAGAGAAGACCCGCTCCCATTGTAAATATAAAGTATTTAATTGTAAAGGGTAAAGAAAACCACAATTTAGATGATTACACAGTAGTGAAAACATCACCAGGATTATTTCATTTCTGTCAATAGATCTTTTTCACCTAAATGTTACACACCAAACCTTTAAAGGTACATGGTGAAGAATTAGGTGATATTTAGTGTTGAGATTACATGTTGCAGCTGAACACCCCTCATGGCGGCCTCCATAGAGAGGGTGTAAATATATAGCATTTAAATATAAAGGGCCTTTTCTGGGGTAAAGAAAACTACAATTCGTACAATTTAGATGAAACGAACCAGTGAAAACATCATGAGGATTATTCTACATTAAATTTCTGCCAATAGTTCCCTTTCACCTAAATCTTACACACTGAACCTTTAAATGAAATGATTTCGTTATCTGCTGCTTTGGGCTCTGTGTTCAGCTTTGTTGTTGTTCTGTCTTCTGGTGATAGATTAGTTTGGTCTGGTGTGGGGACTCTACTAACCGTCCTGTTTGTGTTGCGACCAGTAAAACAGTTAAAGGAAGTGAGGCGGGGAAGATGGATGTCTATCGCTTGAATGTGACTTTAATTATGTTTGTCAGTGAATTTGGATGTTAGACTGTTTCACTTGGCTTGTCTTCAGACACACGACCACGCGCGTTTGTGTCCACCCATGAAAATATCGCGACAGCTTAGCATTGGTTTGTTTACAATGCAGCAGGTGGTTCACGGTTAGCGAATGTTGGGAGACGTGTCTTTTTTCGTCGCTGCGATGGAACCCCTTTGCGAGTATTTCATGTATTTCCCCGCCGCTCCGATATCGAGTCTCACGGATCCGGCGGAGTACTCAACTCTTCCGCGACGACATCACGTCTACCTCGGTGAGACCGTCCAGTTCCTGCTGGTGCTGCGGTTCCCGGATGGCCGCCCCGGTGCGTTTCCCTGGAAGGACCAGGTGGGATCTCTGTCTGCTCTGGCGAGTGCGTGCGTCGCTGAGAGCCGGCAGCAGAGGCGAGGTGAGGGGCCACCAAACACCCAGAGCAGCTGCAGCGAAGGCGACGAAGAAAGGGATCCTCGGGTGAGGGAGTCTGGAACCAGTGACAGCGACCGGACTTTCACACAGTGCAACACCCTTCTCGTTCACAAGAACCCGGCGTCTGATCGGCGACCGGATGGGAAGGAACCGGTTCAGGTAAAATTGATTAAATACTAATGGTTAAGAAGGGTTGCCTTAAAGCAATGGCTTGTAAATGTATTGAGGGATATTTAATGGGACTTAAACTACAAACTCACTGTCATCACCAAACATTACCTACTGAGAGGAAGTAACCTTCACTTTGTTCTCCTCTGTACAGACACCTTGCTCTTTAGTCTTCTGTTTTAATTGATTTTCTCTGAGACAAATGCCTTCAAACTTTGTTCTTCTTGTTGCAGTGAACTCTGTGTTTCAGTTCTGTCTAGACTTGAATGTGCAGTTAGGCCTTCAGGGACTTAACGGGATAGTTCACCGGAAAAAAAAAAGAAAATTCACTCATTATCTCCTCACCACTGTGCTGATGGAGCGGTGGGTGGTGTTCGAGGCCACAAAACACTTTTGGAGTTTCAGGGGTAACCACTTAACCAGTAACCACCAACAGAAAAAAAAAACAACTGAAAAAAAGCATAGAATACTACATAATGCTCCTGTTGTGGCATCCAAGTGTCCCTAAGCCCAGACATTCAAATTTGACTCAAACGGCATCATTTACACCATGTTCTTAGCCTAAATGTTCTGTTATCCTCCTAGTTACTGCAGCAGTAAATGCAGCTATTTGAGGATTTAGCGAGATCAGCAGTAACTAGCAGTGATGCAGCAATAACCACAAAGTGATGCAGCTGGTCAGCATGCTTTAGATGGTGCCTCGGTGGAAGGTGCACATGATTGGTGATGGTGCTCTTGCTCTCTTCATCTTATGGAGGAAGAAGAGGTCCTGCTGAGCTTTCTTGGCCAGTGATGAGGTGTTGTTCTTCCAGGAGAGGTCGGGGAGAGATGTGCACCCCCATGAATTTCGTACTGCTGACGAGGGCTGGGCGATATGGACTAAAAGTCATACCTCGATATTGATCAGCTGAATGGCGATACTCGATATATATCGATATTTTTTCTGTGACGTAATGGGGAGTTTCCTCCAAAGCATTATAGCATATTAGATAAAATTTTTTATAGTCAGTTATAAGTTTAAGCTTAGTTTAGTGCCAAATGTCACCTTTATAAATGTAAACAGAACCTTGCATCTCTTTGTGCACATTTCAACAAACATGTAAACAGGGCATTCCTTCTTTGTGCATATTTCAAATAAAATATGTAAACAGAAGACAAGACTTTAGAAAATGCGCACGGACCCTCTTAATCATCTGTAGATCCCCAGCGTGTGGCTGACTCAGTGATTAGCTCGTAGACCCAGCTGTATTTGCTCTTCACCCAGTTCTCTCCTCTTCTTCCAGCTGTAAGAGAAGCTGCTGACAATTCTCTTACAGAGAGAAATGGCTCCAGTGACGCGGGCATCATCCATACTGTGTCCTATATAACACACACAATTGAAAAACACCTTTTAAAATCACAAATTATTTATTTATAAGTCAGGTCAATGTGTAGTTGTAGAGCACATCTTAAAAACTGTCAACCAAACCAGCCAAAGTGCTGTACAGTTATTAATTATTATCATTAATTATGAATTATTTGTGTATGATTACAGACAGTTATGGAATTTATTAGATACTATTATCCAAAGTGTTAAACAGAATACATAAACAACACTGTTACCAGGACTATTACTGACACACACACACACACACACACACACACACAGTGTTTTACTGAGCATTTTGCCTGTCATATATTTTCTTATTTTAATCAATAAATTCAGTATTGCACTCAGAAAAGGCCAGATGAAGTCTGTGGCCAAAACATTGCATCCTTGGCCACTTTGTCAGTTGCAGCGCTTTGACAACATTACTCGCGTTGTCCGTCGTCACAGGCACTAGTCCCGTTGGGTTGAGATTCCAGCTTTGTAGGGCTTCCTGCAGGGTTTTGGCAATATGCTCCCCTGTATGATATTGCAGAAAGTAGCTGGTCTGAAGACAGACACTCTTCATCTCCCAGTCTTCCATGAAGTGCACCGTCACACTCATGTAAGGTTCGCAGGTCCTGCTGGACCACATGTCGGTGGTCAGGAGGTAGTGAGACACCCACAAGCCGGGCAGTAAGTACAACCATGGCTCTAACGTCTGTGTACATATTGGGTAGTGCCTCTCTTGCGAAGTAATTGCGACTGGGCAATTGGTATCTTGGATTCAGCTGTACAAAGCCGGTCTGCTCCACTGTTGATATGGGGGCCATGTCTTTAGCGATATGGAAAGCCACGGCTTTGGTAATATCACGCCACTTGTCACTTGTTCTTTCGTAAGGTACAGCATGGGTCAATGAAACTTGGGGAGGTATTGTGGCCTGAGTTGCAGCACGTATTTTAACACACTCCTTATACTGCACTTTATGGCGCTGTTGGGAAGAGATTTGTCGTGCTCGAGCCTTTAGTTGCAACAGGTTTTTGACATTCTTTACAGAAAACATGCTGCTGGTCGTCTGCCACTTTAAAACCAAACCATCTCCAAATTATCGAGCCATTGTTCTTTCGCTTACTGACCAACTCCTCTTCTGCAGCGGACTCCGTCTCCATGTTGTCGCTGAGTTTAGGTGAGAGGGGAGGGGGAGGGCTTGTAAAGAGTGAGGGAGGCGGAGCAGAAAGGTTGTGTGTGTTTAGGGACACAGGGTGAGGAGAAATAGGTGCGAACCTGCGGCCCATTTATTGCCATTTTAACGTAAAATGAACTATATCGATACAAGCGATATTGTCCCGTGTTATGTCTCGTTTAGAAATATATCGATATATTTTAAAATATCGAGATATCGCCAGGGGCCCTACTGCTGATGTGTTCCACTGCGGTGCCATTGATGGTCCGCAGGAGGTGTTGAGTGAGGTTCTTCCTGTTGTCCATAATAATCTCCTTTGTTTTTCCTACATTCAGGGAGAGATTGTTAACCTTGAACTACATGGCCAGCTGGTTCACTTCACTCCGGTAATTGGATTTGTCGTTCTTGCTAATGAGGCTCACAACAGTTGAGCCATCAGCAAATATGACAAGGTGGTTGGTGCTGTAGGTTGTTGCACAGTCGTGGGTCAGCAGGGGAACAGCAAAGGGACTGAGCATGTACCCCTGGGGTGCCCCTGTGCTCAGTGTGATGGTGTCTGATGTCTTATTGCCGACCCTCACAGACTGTGGTCTCTCAGTGAGGAAGTCCAGCAGCCAAGAGTGAGGTGTGTAGGCCCAGCTGGTCCAGTTTCCCATCAGCTGCTGTGGGATGATGGTGTTGAATGCTGAACTGAAGTCTAGGGACAGCACCCTTACATATGAGTCTTTCTTGTCCAGGTGGGTGAGGGCAACGTGGAGGTCAGAAGAGATTGCATCATCAGTAGACCTGTTGGCCTGATATGCAAACTGAAGGGGGTCCAGGGTGGGAGGAAGGTTGGATTTGATGCATGACCAGCCTCTCAAAGCACTTCATGATGGTGGGAGTCAGTGTCTGTGTTCTCTTCTTCTGCACAGTCTTTCAGCACTCGACTAGGGATGTTGTCTGGACCAGCCGTCTTGCGTGCTGTGATCTTTGAGAGTGTTTTCTTCATGATGGGGACGGGGACACAAAACATGGTCATTGGGGGGAGCTGGTGGCTTCTGTGCATTGGTGTTGTTCAGTGCTTTAAAACGTGCAAAGAAGCTGTTAAGTTGGTTCAGCAGAGAGATGTTGTTGTCACAGGCTAATAGTGGAGGATTGTAGTCCATGAGGGTCTGAATCCTCTGCCACAGGCTCCGTGTTTCTCTGCTATCCCTGAATTGCCGGGTTTTTTCCTTGGGGTACATGCTTGGGACAGGTTGGCTCTAGTTGTTTTCAGCTCTGCTCTGTCACCGGCTCTAAAATCAGAGTTCTGGCTCTTCAGCAGTCTGCTAGCCTCTCCTGAATATATGACCCTAACATCCTAACAACTACTGGTGGTTGGCCTCTTAATTAGTAAGGTAGAACATACAAGGGATATTCTCGATCTTTTCCTATGTTCTTAACAGGGAAAGCTTTTGACTCTGTTGCCTTTGACAGTGAGTGTTTAGTTTAAAAAGGCATAGAGGTAGTGATAAATAATAATCTACTGAGTGGCTTTCCTAGTCCTGCCATACGAGCCAGTAGCCAGTCAGATTTCCCTTTAGCGTCAGCGCTGTTGCAATTAAAAGCCCAGAACACCTGATGACACAAAGGTACACGACAGAAGTAATTTCCATAACATCCCCTGGTTGTCTGCTCACATCAACTAGTCGATGGCATGTGTAGTGCAGTAGACCTTCAAACATGCAAGGGATTTTCATCTTGTCATATGTATGTAGAGAGAAACAACTTCCTTTTGACAGGAAGAAAACTGCGTGCAGATTGCAGCCCACATTGACAATTAGGTCAATTATGAACCAACTCCTAATATTCACCCGACAGTAGTGTCTTCTTTTTCTTAATTTCTCCTACATTTGAAGGAAGACCCCTCTATACATTCTGTTTTAAACTGATTTTAAATAAATGTGACATCCCTTACTGCAGTTTTTCATTTGCCTACACTACACCTGGCATTCCATTGGTTTGTGAATTATTACATACTACATTATGACAATCATGAGCGGTGGAAAAATCTGGGGTTAGACGTTTCATACGCACACAGAAGCTGTATGACTTATGTATGTATAGATATATATGTACTTTTTTATACTTATGCATTTCGGAGCGAATCCTGCAAGCTAGTTCAGGCAGCCAACTCGAGCTGCGCTGCTCCAATCATGTGACACACATCATGTGACATACCWCATTCTCCACAATCATCCATTATACACACCCACCCTATTAGGCAGCCTATTTAACCAGTGAGAAATTTCCCATCAACCCATTTGCTCGCACTGCTGTAATAACGCTACCAGTTGCTTCAGCCCCTCCACCACCCCAGCAGCCACCTGTAGCCTCCGTATTTGCTCGTCACTCCCATCATATCTGTGTAATCACATCGGGGGAGGGATTGAGTCGGAGCCTAAACAGCAAACACAAAGAATGTTCTAATGCGACAATAAACAATTGAACGTGAGTTGTCTGACTGAATTGTTAATCACAGGAGTACACCCTTATTTTAACAGATATCAGACAGTAATTTTTATTTGCAGTCCCTTTATGCTCTAAATTTCAGTGTGTAAGATCTAGGTGAAAATGATCTGTTGGTGGAAATTGAATATACAATAATCTTAGTGATGTTTTCACTTGTGTGTAATAGCGATGTCACATATAAACAATATATGTGACATCGCTACAATAAGAAATTTTGGAAATATCACGGTTTCCCGATATTCAATACTATAGAAGGAAAAGGACACAGAATGAGCAATATAAAGTTAAAATATGTATTATTATCATCAACTATATCCACTTGTCATGTTTCAAAGGGAAGGGGTGAGGTGAGGGGTATTTAGTTGCAACATGCATTTTTACCACTAGATGTCACAAACTTCTACACACTGAACCTTTTATTTGTAGGCTTAAGTTCACTTATTGTCTCCACGCTCTATCTGATGTTAAACACTGTGTCCTCTTCCTTGTCCCCCTGCAGTCTGCTCTAGTGTTGGATGACCAGGTTATCTTCTACCTCACAGTCTCTTTGGACAAGCTGCCAGTGAACACACTCAAAGCCAAGGTCAGAACCATGAATACACAAGCAAAGAGGTTTGGATGGTACAACCATGTAAATTATTAGACAATACGTGTTTCACAGCTCTTGTCTTTATACTGTGTATAAATTTACTTTATTCCAATGTTGGTGGCATTGGTTCATCTTGGGGGTTGATGGTGAACCATGACGGTAGTTAGTTAGTAACCATTTCTCAGATTGGTTAAGGAGTCCCAAGTTGGGATGTCAATCTCAATAATTCACTACTCCACACGTAGCTCTGTTTGGGCATGTTTAGATCTGACAGATTTACGTCTACTAGCTTCCAGTCCTGCTTGTAGCCATCCTTGAATCAAAGGTGCAGGCCTTCAGTGTGTCATCCTGTGCCTTTGCTGAGTTCATTGTACAGCACGTCCCAGGTGCGGCCCATTCACGTGTCCCTGGGTGAGCAGACTGAACAGACTCTGGAAGCCAGCAAGGGGGACCTTGGTGTTGGGAACTTTTAAGGAGAACGTTTAGCATGATATCTCAATAAAAAGTAACATTTGTTCATCTGAATCTTAGCCAGGCTGCACACTAACTGAATTTATGAGACAAGGTACATTTTGAATATTTCAGAATATTTGTCCATCATTTCCATCAATAATGGTGACAGTTTTCTCACCAAGTGAATAGATGATATTGGGATCACAGTTATAGATCTGAAAAAAACCTCTGTGTTCTCCTCTTCAACATTTCCATGCTTTAAAAAAAATTGACGTGCACTGAAACTTGTCAGTCTTTTTTTAAGGTAAAAATGATAAAATATTATGGTAACTTAAATACAACTGTAGAATTTAAAGTAAAAAACACAATAACTGATTATTTTACACAAGCATTTCAGTTGTCAAGGGTGTGTAAAAGTGCTCTTCAGTTTCCGAATGGTTTTATAAATAAAAATATATTTTTGCATAAGCCACTTCCTGCCTTTGCTGTACACTTTTAGTGTGAATCCTTCGCAGTGTTTTCTAAAATAGGCCCCTGGTCCTTTTGTGTTTGTGTGCCTGTCTGTGCTGTCAGATCATAGTGACTGTGTGGAAGCAGGAGGAAGAAAAGGTGGAAGTGAGGGAACATGGCTACCTGACTCTTCTGCAGCTCAGGAGCCCAACGCACACCTTCAGACAGGACCTGAACACCTTCAAGGCACAGGGTACAAAAAAGATTTCTCTGTCAACACCAGACATGAGCTCGCTTGCCCTAAAGAATTCAAGAGTTTGTGGAATTCCGACCCACAGATTTCAGTGAGGTGCCATACAAAGTCAGTCGTAATGGAATTCATGTCCTATGTGACTGCTGAATACCTGGAGTCATGTAAAGTTTTTGTTTTTCTATATTTGTCTTGTATCTGACTGCCAGTCAACACCACCCTGAATGTTCTACCACCTCCCAGCGTCCAGTGTCAGCAGATGACTGTTTCTGGAAAACACTTGACTGTTCTTAAAGGTAAACCATTCATATTCACATATACAATCCTCCAGATCTCCTCCAAGTAAGCTAAAGCCATTTTGCCATGTCAGCTAGAGTGCAACGCTTTGAACAAAAAAAGGTCTGTCCACTTTGGTTTTAAATACCGGCATGAAAAAGAGGTGGTTGTTCATCTAGGATACAGTACAAAACCATATTGATTGTTTTGGCAGCTATATATGAGTAACTCGTTTGGTGTGTGGCCCCAAGGCCCTTTGTCATAGTAGGAGAAGCACATGTGTTACTTACCATGCTGACATGGTTGTATTCCAGTGAGCCAGCAAGAATATTACCAAGACCCTGAGACTGATGCAGCCAAATGGAAATTAAGTCACCATTCATTTCATTTACACCAATGCTTTTGTAATTCATCAAAACGCTGATTCATGAATACTCAAACCTTCTGTGAGGATTCAGTCATTCAGGTCATTGTATCTTGTATGTAGATATTGTACTAGTGTACACAGGCAAGCAGACAAGTCCAAATGCTTATGTACACTAGTATTTCTGAAGATGTAATGAGGATTAGAATGACTGGGCAAACAGCTGCTGTTTCTTCCTCTTATGTCCCAAGTGGTGAACTGCAGCTCTCAGGAGGAGGTGTGTGTTAGAGACATGAAGATCCTTCCCAACTATAACTCGTCCTATCTCCCCATGATGCCAGATGGTTCAGTGCTCATAGTTGACAATGTATGGTAAGTATGTGCCCATGATGTATGCTCTCAGATTAAAGCAAACTTCAAAATTAGCAGTGGCAGTTCTGGAGAAGAGGGTGATGTGATCACGGGAGTGAGTGTGGGTGAGCAGACGGGTGGTAGAATTCTGGATAGACTGATGTTTATTGAGGACTTTGGAAGATGCATTATAGAGAATTCTATATCTATCTATCTGTCTATTTGTCTGTCTGTCTCTCTGTCTGTCTGTCTGTCTGTCCATCCATCTATCCATCCATCCATCCATCCCATCCATCAGTTCCTGCGTGATGCAGACATCTATAGGAGTGATAATCTATCCTACTTTATGTATATCATTGTCATGTTTTAAAAAAAATGTTTCTCTTTAAAAATATTAATGCACCCATATGTATTTATCCCACCAGCCACCAATCAGCTGAGGTCACCATGGCGTCATTCTATCGGATAGATAGTGAGTCATCCCGCTTACCAAGCACACTCAGTGCGCTGGAGCAACAGAACTTTCTGTTTCAGCTGCAGCTGCAAAACAAAGCAGAAGATGACTCCAGTGAGGTGAGGAGACATGAGGAAGGTCATGTCAGCCTCTTTAATTCTAGATTTTAACAAACACAGGAGGAAATAGTAAATTAGCTGGTGACTATCTTCAGCAGCAAATTATTCTACATTTAGTGTTTAAGTGAAAACCTATGGTATATGATATGTGTGGGACTGGGTCAAGATAATGTGTGCTCATGGTGATGAAAGATCACTGTGTCTTACTGATGTATTTGCCGACAAAGAAAGTATCTAATTACAGTTATCTTTAAAGCAGTGGATTCATTAAACTTTTTTCCAACTTTCTGGCACAATCTCTGTGCGAGTCACAAGTGTGAAATGGTGTTGCAGTGAGTTTATTCTATCTTTTAAAACATAGGGTATGGAAATTCCTTTGGTGGCTGTGTTACAATGGTATACTCCGGCACTTCCTCTCACAAGGTAACTGGTCATCTTTTGTCCAACATGTAGCAAATCTCTATGAATATTTCAGAGTGCTATGAAAACAATTTAGGAGTATTATCACTTAAGACTTAAAGAATTACCCTTTGATTTTACAAACCTGAGTCATTCATTCTGTTTTTTTGACAACAAACTACAACTATGCTTTTGTGCATTTGCTTTATTTTCCTTTTCATGTACCAAATATTTTTAAATCATAAAGAAACAGGAAGGAAATACAACAGCAGTCTATTAATGTAACAAGTCAAAATGTTTGCCATGTGAAAGAAAATAGAAAGAAATAAAGCTTGCATTTGTTTTTCCAGATACATCTCTAGTTGGTACTCATTGCCCAGTATCCGCTTGGATCGTCCTCAACTGGTGATGACAGCTTCCTGTCCAAGGGCCATCAGGCCTATGGAGCCCTTCTGGGTAAAATACACCGTCCTGAACAACTTGCAGGACTTTGCCGTCCATCTGATCTGGAATTCTGAAGGTGAGAAGCAGACTTGACACACTGTTCCAACTTCATCAAAAAGATAAAGATGTCCACATGATAAGATGTCATTATTCAACACGAGCATCAACAATTAATTCATACATCTTTACCTTACACATGGTGTGGCTCTTGGGATGCCACTCTGATCAACTTAAATGAGCTGGAAAGTCATGTAACGACAAAAGCTAGCAAGCAAAACGTTATTTATATAGCACATCTCATTTCACTCTACCAGACTACTGAAAAGCACAGCTAAGAAGGAAAGTTTTTAGTTTAGATTTAAAAGATAGTAGTGTTGTATGATGAGTGTAGGATGTTCCAGCGGCTTGGAGAGTAAAGCCTGAAGGCACTTTCACCATTTTTTGTCAAGACCTGTGGAAAAACCAGGCAACCTGTTTCAGATGCATGTTAGTAAGATATTGGGGTCTTTAATCATTTTCAAATTATGTTTTCAAAATGTCACTACCACCTCTAAAAACAGCAGAAATTCAGTGAAAGGTAAGAAACTGAACCAGAGAATAAAGAGAATCAAACACAAAGTTATGTTGGTCTGTCATCTCTGAGGAAACTGAAGGTAGTTTATTGACATCGTCACAACTCATTAAAGAATTCAGGATGTTTTGACCCAGTCTCTCTCCTCCACATCCTGAAGAATGGCACCAAATATGTTTTCCTTCTGTTGACACCAGTCATTGTGATCGTTGAATAAGAACGGTCACAGTGAACAGTTGTTTCACGTCATTCAACTAAAGCTTCAGCCTTTCTGCCTCTGGTAAATTTATGGATGATTAACAAAAACATACAAAAAGAATACATTAATTAGTTGGTAACAGTCAGACATTAGCACATCAGAATTAAATATTTAATCAGAATAAAGTAAAAAAATAAAGACCCTCGCACCAGAATAATCTGACATCCACAGCCAAGGGGAAGTCATAAAACTGAATCTAATGTAGTTAACTTACTGTCTGTTTTACATTTTTTTATCGAGCTGAACTTTATGTAAAGATAAAGACTGTAAAATGTTTAGTAAACAAGAGTTTACTAACTGAACAAACCTGGATATCAGTTCCTCTGTGTATAAAGAACAAGCCTTACACCAGGTGAACTCAAAACTAATAATCGAAGCAAGAGTAATCCGGTCCTCGCACTGTGAGTACTCGGGCCCTAACTAAAACAAAAAGCCTTTTCCAGCAGCTAGTAACAACAGAGTCATATTAAATGTCAGAGTAATGAGTGAACACGATGTAAATTAAGCTCCAGTTTTCCTCCGGTGAATCTCTCTAGTCTCACCTATCTCAGCTGCTGCCTGTCAATCATCTGGGAGACTGTGTGTCCATCAAACAGACATGCTTTCCAATCTACGGCCACTAGTTCTCTGATAAGAAGGAGAGTATCTAGCAAATGAGACCATAATCGCCAATGGGGAATTTTTTTTGACAGAGTATCTCATCAGAGAAATTGGCATTTTTTCAATGGAAGTCTATGGAGCCAGAGATTTCTTGGAGCCAGTTTGAGCCAGCCCCTGCTTGATGTCCGCTGTATTACACTTTTAACCACTTCCGCATAGGCTTCTTCTTTTGGAGCCGGAAGCTCCAGTTTTATATACAGTCTATGGCTACACCAAATGAGATAAAACCTTTTTTTGCAGCTAAAATTCCTAAAGCAACTGCCAAAATCAAGTTCTTTAAGTTATGATAAAAACCAATAGAGTGATGATCTAAATAGGCTGACCCACCACTCAAGTCTTCCAATTAAAATATCATGATTGATCATGTCAAAGGCCAGTCTCAGATCCACCAGTGCTAAAATAGAAAGATAACCATTGTCCATTTTTATTCTTAAGCCATTTTCAACTTGACCAGTACTGTTTCTGTGCTGTGGTTGGGGCAAAAAAAACTGATTGTAAGAGTACCTGCACCCTATTGGTTGCAAGGGAATACATTGACTGTTTGTGGAATTTCAATAATTCTACTGATAAAAGGGAGATGGGAGATTGGTTTATACTGCTAACAATGGATGGTTCTAGAGTTGGCTTCGTTAAGAGAGGTTTAACAATTGAAGATTTTAGTGAGCTTGGGAAAATGCCAATCCGGCAGCTCCACCCCTGAATAATACAGAGGATTTGTTGCTGTTGAGAAGGCATCTGTGCAGAGAACCTCCTGTAAGTGTAATGGCGGCTGGGGGTAAAGGTGTATCCCATAGTGAAACACAAAAGGAATGCAAGGACAGAGAACTAGTAACATGAGTGGGTGTTTCATGAGACCACCCTAGTTGTTGATATGAAGCAACATATATGGGGGATCATTTTTTTAATGATGAATGTTGCTATGTCAGCCTGTTATTTAGGGAATGCTGTTCACCTCTCATGATTCGTGACATCAAGGTCAGCCAACAGGCTGGTGTGATATAATTAAAGCTGCTTTTGAGGGCATGCAAGGGTTTCCCATAGTGAGACACTTACTCATGCTAGTCAGAGAAGCAGGGTTCTGCAAATAACCTAAATATTTTCTTTTCATGGGATTGTACAAGACTTATTGTACAAGATGATTTATTTACACAGAACAACCCAACAGTACAGCAATGTACAGATCTTCCACAGTGTTAAGAGAGGCCTAATATCTGTGTGGGTGGGAACTAACAGAGGTTTGTTTTCAAAGATCAGTTCAGTTCCAGCAGCCACACAGGCAACTAGGGGCCCAGCATAGTTTGCTGTTACTGTATGATAAGATAAGAAATCCACTTCATACATTGCTGTTTGACTCCGTGAGCGAAATAGAGGTAACCAAGGTCAAAGTGATTTCATGTTCTTGTGAAAGGCATCTGGAACACCCATTTCAATGGCACAAACATCACCTAAACTCAAAGATGACCTGATTAGAAGTTGGAGGTCAAATGTCAAAGTCATTGTGAACATGTTATCTTAAGGATTCCTCAAAAGTATCTTTGCTAATTTTGGAAAAAAAAATGGTCACTTAGACTCACAAACTAACTGATCATGATTTGGATTTTGAGAGGTCAAGGTGCTCTCTGGAAAAAAAAATATGTAGACTGAAACTGCACAGGTAAGCAGAGGCATGTAATCGTAGGGGGGGAAATTCTAGCTTGAAAAATGAAGCACCACAGCAGTGTGAGTCTTAGAGTTCTGATCTAATATAACTTTGTATGCTTTGTCCTAGCTGTGCTTAATACTTCCTCTCCCCATCTGGTTTCTATTTCTCCATCCATCCTTTGCTCAGCTCAAAGTCATCGGCAGGACCCAAGTGTTGAAGCAGTGGTGTGCCAGTCTCCCATCAAGAACCTGGGACAGTGTAGGAAGGGCTCCACCCTCTCCTTCACCGTGGCCTTCCAGATCCTCAGAACTGGACTGTTTGAGGTACCAAACATTTGCGAGGTCACACACTGAGTAACCTACTTTGTGCACTGCAAGTATTCCTGTGGTACAGTACAACTTTGACATCAATTATTAAATATTGAGCATTATTTGTATAGCCCATATTCACAAATCACAATTTATCTCATAAGGCCTAACAAGGTGCAACATCATCTGTCCTTAACCCTCATCAAGAGTAAGGAAAAACTACATCGATTAGAGGAAACAGCTTGTAACTTAATAGAAAAGTGTGTCTATTTTTCAAGTATATATACACAAGAAAATGTCTGATAGAGATGAAGGGAGCAGCAATGACAAATGACTTGAGGAGTTATTGTCAGTAATGGTAGAATATGTGAGTAGGTGCATTGTACACCACCTCCACAATCAGATGCCAACACGATCACGATCCGCCATCAAGATGTCTGATTCGCGGTCCACCATCATGATCTATGGTGCATGATCACAGTCTACGATCCACCATCATGATCCACAATGTGGCCATAGCTTTGGTCCTGGGTCTGCAAACGATAAAGCAAAAAAAGGGTATTGATGAGATTTTAATGTGATAAAAAGGGAGAAGAGGAAAGAGAAGCTCCACGTGTTATGTGTCCCCCGACATTCTAGACCTAAAGCAGCATAACTAAGAGCTGGTCCAAGACAAACCTGAACACGCTCTAACTATCAGCTTTATCAAAAAGGAAGGTTTTAAGCTGACTCTTAAACGTAGAGAGGGTGAGGAGTTCAAGTAAACAACTAATACCCAGCATTCAGACTGATGAGTAGCTCGCTGCAGAAAACCCCAAAAAAGAATATATCTCAGGATGAAAAGGCAGTGCCACAGATGAAGATGTAAATGGTTGTATTTATATAGCGCTTTTCTAGTCTTGATGACCACACAAAGCGCTTTACACTACAGTTTTGCCATTCACCCATTCACACACACATTGCATCTATTTGTAGCACTTTTGGTTGTTCTTTGGGGCAGTTCGGGGTTCAGCATCTTGCCCAAGGACACTTTGGCATGCAGATGGGAAGACTGGGGATCGAACTTCCGACCTTCTGGTTGGAGGACGACCGCTCTACCCCTCAGAAAAACCCACCCAGATGCGAAGAGATCTTTTGGTGATAAGAACAGATGCCTTTGCTGTAAATTAATGAATGTGATCTCCACAGCTGACCATTAAATTCACCCCTCACCAAAACGCTGTGGAGATTTCTGTGTTGTTGTGAACACGTCTGATTGGAGAATCACCTTCTGCATTGTTCATGTGTGAAAGGCAAACTCCTGAGAAAGTATACATAAACATTGCAAAATACAGTTATTGAATTAATGAAGTGCTCTTCCATGTTGTCTACTACTATCCTGTTCCATGTTAACACTACAGTTAAGCCAGCATATGAAACTGAAGCTTCAGCTCACAGCTACTGTGTCCACCCCTCCTGTGGGGCCTCAATCACTACTGAAGAAATCTCCATTATCATCAAGCTTGGCAGCCACTGAGCTTCCAGAGAAAAGTATCCTGGGCCGATCTCAGAGCTTCTCCCACAAACAGTCGTCCAGATCACACCACGTAAGGTAAAGAAGATTTAAAACATTTTTAACCATTTTTTGATTTTCTGGATTATAATCCTGGTTAAGTCTTTTTTGTGTGGGGTTTACTTGTTATCCTTGTGCATGCACTTCACCCAGGTACTCCCACAGTCCAAGACATGCAGGTTTTTTGGAGACTCTGAATTGAATATTGGTGTGAATGACTATTTGTGTCTGTATGTATATTACTATGGACTATGGGATGGAAAAATCCGAGTTAGTCACATGTAGTAAAATAGGTAAATGTGTTGGCAGGGAGACAGAACGAAGGGGAGAAGTGCTTAGTGCATGATGGGAGTTCCCCCAGCAGTCTAAACCTGTATAGCAGGATAACTAAAGGATGGTTCAGGACTCACAGAAGGTTGTTTTTGTGCTTTAGAACATAACTGCTGTGGAACAATCGCTTTGTGTTGTACCGTGTGTGGTGAAATATAGCCTTTACAGTATCCGGTGGCCCCGCTGGCCCCCTCTTGGCAGCACCACTGCATTAAGGCGCATTACTCCATACTGGTCAACAAGTGACTCGGCTCCGTCTCTTTTCTAATCACTCATTCGTAGAACTGATCTTTAAAATAACTTGCTGAATTTATGTGTTCATGGATAAGCGGGGCGTCGCTTCTTCTGCAACAATGAAGTTAAAACACACTGTGTTGCTTCATAATCTGAGGGAAGAACTTCTCTCCTGTCTGAGTGTGTATGTGCATGTGTTTCTGCCCGTCTCTGTCGCTCTGAACACAAACTGATGATCAAATTTATTTGGTTATTAATGATGGTGCCAGATCATGAATTTGGATCATTCTGGTCACTTTTATCCTGATGTCCTGGCTGTGCATGTTACATCTCGTATTGTGCATGACAGGTGAACTGTGTGCATGCCAAATTTATTTTCAATGTGGGATAAATAAGTGCTTCATAAACTCTGGAGCGATTCAAACATATGCTTGGTAAACTTCAACCATACGCATTAGAATTCCTTGTGCATGCTGCGCCAGCGTGCCTATGTCTGGACAGTTTTTACCATGAGCTTTACACTGTGGTAATCATCCACAGTTTTAATGATAATTTAAATTTCACATAGTAATACTAAACGTTGAGAATTTCACTGTGGTTAATCATGATACCAGTAGCCGTTTCATCCCTACACCTAACCATTTCCTGTGTCATCATGTCCATGACATGGTGTCTCTGTTTGCTTCAGGTCAAGCAGTGTGATGGAGCATCGGGCAATGACACCTTGTATGGGACCTTCAATGGGCAGGGCCACCTACCTTCCCCCTGACCACAACCTCATTTCACTGGACAAAATAGCCAAGAGAAAGTGTAAAGTGTTGGTGCTGAAACAAATCCAAGAGCCACACTGCAGGTAAGACAACTGGCAGTGTAGCTAGACTAATTTCTTCATTTAGTTATAATATTTGAATGAAAACTGAACTTTATTGATATTATCTAAACGTCAGAAGTTGTAGTCACAAACTATCCTTATGCTTGAAAAAATGGAAATAAAGCATATGATGAAATAAGATTTGATAAATTCTACAAGTCCCTTTTCCACAAAAAAAAAACTTAAAGCTGTCCACTCGATCTGACGGGATCTGATGTCTGGTATTAACACCCAGGTGGTGAACAAGTTAACCACACATATATCTGTTCCATAAATGTGCCTGATTTGTTTCGGGTCAAGATCCATGAATTATTCCCTGAGAATGATTCCATTAAATGTCATTGTCATTGTAGCTTGAAGATGAAACAGAATTTTACCAATTTCAAATCAAAAAACAAAATGTGCTCCTTAGTGTTAGTGTTGAATGCTGAAACTGTAGCATTCAATGTGTTGCATTCACCGCTAAATTAATGCAATACATTGTTGCATTCATTTTACATTGTTGGATTTTTTTGAATAATGTGTCTTGTTGTGTTTTCACTATTACTTAGAACTGTCAGTTTAAGATTGGATAACCTGTGATAGAGCAGCAGTAGCAGTTGGATTCATCACAATATGCCACTGTGTTTTCAGCAACGTCATAGCAAACTGTAAAGTATAAACTGTCTCAAGCCTGTAATATAGGACGATAAATGTGTGGACAAAATAGATGTGTGATACAGTTCTGTTATTCTAAACTGGAACCAGTGAAAGCATGTTCCAATCCCTTCTCTGTCTGTCCTGTCAGATGACGTGGAGAGGAATGTTGTACTAAACATCAGTGTTGATCCATCTGTCCAGCCTTCACGGAAGGAGGAGCAGAGAGGAGTGGAATCAAAGGCCAGGGGAGGAGGAGTGGTGTTGACGTGGTGAGGGCGGGTGGTGGAAAGATGCTGCAGTGCAGAGATGATGAAAGAAAAACCCTCGTGGAGCCACAGCAGTTCTTCATTTCACTGGTTTATCATTTCACTGGATTACTTACCTCTCTTCAAATCAACATTTTATTCCATCAGAGTTTTTATTTTTATAAAACATTTTCTTCAAGCCTGCATTGGGGTCTATTTTTACGTTCCTATGTCTGGGTGATTTTGTTGATATTTACTTGGTTTTAGGGTTTCATTAAAGCATCATTGACGATTTTGTGTCATTTTGGATTTTGATCAGGAAAAGTCCAACGTTTTTTTTAGATATAATTGTTTGCCATCACACCCACAGTCAGAAAAGTGCCAACCTAGCTGCATCAGGAGTTTGCAGCAGTCCCAGTTCCACCTTGTGTCTGTTTCCTGTTTCACATGGCAGTGCCTCCTGGCAAAGAGCCCTGAGCTCAGCTGCACCCAACACCTTCAGGATGAACTTGACCACTGGCTATTACACAGACGGAAGAGCAGCACATTCATTTGTCATACCTGGATCAAATGTTCAACAATCACATATACATTAACTACTGCTGGAATGTTTGGCTGTTTTTATACCTTTGGCCATGTAGAACAACCAGAAAGCTTGTACCCAAAGCCAGCTGGGTTCTGGTCAGAAAGAGAATGTGCTAAGCTAAGCTTATCGTGTGTTGAAACTAATTTATTTCTATGTTGATCTTAATCTACAGTTAGATTCTGGGAAATTAAGCAATAACCGAGTCCCCACAAGACTGCTCCTTTAAATAGTCTTGGAGCTATGCTGTTCTATATTCTGACTGAGTAGTGCTTATGATTTTTAACTGGAATCTTTTTTTATTTGTGATGTTAGGATAATGTAGCCATGGTGATGTACTAATGAAAATGTCTGTGTTTTGTAACTGGACCACAAACATGTTGAAGTTGGCAGTCTCTTCGAGGAAGTGATGTGCACTCAGATTGACATTCATTGGAAAAAAGTGATATTTTTAAAATAGGACAGAATTCCAATGAGAGTGTATTGCAGCTTCATAAAGTAGTCCTTACACTGGCTGATCTGATCTATTTATTATGAAGGTTGAATTCTTTCCTGTTTTGTAGAATCTAGTTTTAAATTGATGCTTTTGTCTTTAGTTTGATCTGTCTGCAGTCTATCAGTGCATGAATTCACTTTTACAGTGCGCTCTCCTTGTTTTGTTGTCCATGAAGTTGTCCCCAGCTGTGCAGCACATGATTTGTAATCTGAATGAAAGCTGTCATGTATAATGTGAAGTGCAATGAGAGCAGGGTGGCAGTAACAGGCTTTTACTGGCATTTAGTTTCTTTTACATTTCTAAAATTGACATTTCTAGAATTAAGCTGTCACAGTGAAGAACAATACTGGTCTTACGGGAACATTAAGGTCTCTGCTCAGTAAAGACTTCCTCAGGCAGCTGTTTTATGCAAGTGAAAAGATTTGATCAGTTTATGAACTGAAACCTTTCTTCTTCCATTTCTTACTGTGTCACGGGCACGTAATAATTTCCTATTTGGATCATTTCATTCGCAATAGCTTGGCTGCAGCTAGCAGTGGTTTTGTTGACACACTGTTTGGACAGTTATATGTAGAGTCTACACAGTGAGGTCATCACTGTTCAATTTCTCTGTAACACAATTCCAATGTGCCACATCAATAAATATCTGCAGCGTTTTAGTGATCAATACGTTATAAATAAATAGAAAACATTTAGTGTTGGCTACAACTTTCAATTCTCTTAAATCAAGGCTTTTCTTCTATTGAGTCACATCTGAGGCTTTTATTCATCTCTGTCTCTGTTACTTATTCTCTTATTTGTTTACCTATCTAACATGTTTTTCTTTTATTCTTTGTCTTGATGCTTTTCAAGTTTTAGCTAAAAAAGTACCGAAATGTTCTTTTAATTTTCTTTCATCTTGTCCATTGGATGTTTATTTTTCATTCAGAGCGAGAGCAATGCATGATGTTATATATCGCTTGCTTAGTGCCTACTTATTTAGATTTATTGTGGGATACAATGAGTTCAGGGTTATAATGATCCTCAGTTGACATTATGGTTGCACGACAGAACACAGTAGAACTCATAGTGTCTGATTTAATGTTAGTTTTGTAAGGTGATTTTTTTTTGTTGTTGTTCCTAACTGGTTTCAATTTGTTTACGACCCGTTAACTTGGGGAATGTTTATTTGCGGTTTTGAATAATGACTCAGCCAAAGCAGTTGAGCCTCAACAACTGTCAGTTGACTGGCTATTTCCTATAAGATAATATTTAGCAGAGAAGCAGCCAAACTGTGAAAGTGGCCTTAGAACTGGCCCACAAGCTATTCCAGTGTTAAACTCCTCAAGCAAAGTATTAAACTGACAGAAATACATTAAGTTGCAATTACATTTTTCAAAGGCTACTTTTTAATTTTGCTTCATTCTGCTTTATTCAGTTTTTTTT